GATACGCAAAAAGAATGCCCTTTAAAAGAGATATAGCGGAAATACAGGATGATCTGGTAGAGGTTGGACAGATACCTGATAGTGAAGTAGACGTTGAGGGTGAAGTAGGGGCGATAGAATTCTGTTGGAATTGTCGTCAAGAAGGTCACCGACACATGCAGTGCAAGCAAGCAAAGCGGGTGTTTTGTCATGGATGCGGGTTAGCAAACGTGTATAAAATGAATTGCAGCAAATGTCTGGAAAAAAAACCTACACGGGAGCACGCAGATGCAACAACACAAACAGAATGCTCCGCGTGCTCAGAACTCAAACCCGAATCCTGCTCACCCAGAATCGCAAGTCTAGAGGATGGCGCTAAATCCTCAGACTTTGTAGATTTAGTAGGATATGATTCAGCAATTCAAAGCGAGGGCGATGAGGAAAACGACGTAGATTCAGATTTAGAAACGTACGAGTCAGAGACAGAAACATCTGCAAGTTCTCTCAATAGCTCATATGACCACATGTGCTTACCAGGAGATGAGCAGGAAATTGAAGTAGGCACCGAAAATTCTAGAACAGACGATCACCAGACGGATTCTCGGAGCATAGCTAGGATGAAATCATTCTGGTCAGAAATGAAGCAGCTGCAGAGTCACATCAAAGAAATTAATGCTTTAGAAGACCCAAAAGCTGATCCACGACCGTTTGTAGCTGTGCAGCTGATGGAACAATTAGTGAAGGATCTGTTAGATTCAGGGGCAGCCGTGAGTTGTCTAGGAGGGAATTTGGCTCAAGAATTTTTACAAAGTAGTACAAACTTTAAGAAAATAGCAGCTAATGTTAGCACGGCAGATGGAAATAAACAAGAAATAGTTGGCAAAGTGAGGCTTCCAGTATGCTATAACAAAAGAACAGAAGAATTAGACATTTACATAGTCCCAACACTGAAACAAAATCTTTATTTGGGTATTGACTGTTGGCGCAAGTTCAATCTACTTCCTACATTGGCTAATATATGCGAACTGGACCTAAAGTCCGTAGAGCACGACCTCGATAGTGATCAAAGAATGGAACTAGCAAATGTGGTGAACTTGTTTCCTTCATTTACTCAAAAAGGATTGTGAAAAACCAATTTGATCACTCATGTGATAGATGTAGGCAGTGCTAAGCCCGTGAAGCAAAGGCACTATCCGGTTTCGCCAGCAATGGAAAAATTAATATATGCTGAGGTAGATCGAATGTTAAAGTAAGGAGTCATCGAAGAATCTGAGAGTGGTCATCACCTTTAGTGATTGTACAAAAGCCAGGGAAATTTAGCTTGTGCCTGGACAGTAGGAAAATAAATGCGTTGACCGAAAAAGGATGCGTATCCGCTGCCCCCGATTAGTGGAATTCTAAGCAAGTTGCCCAAGGCTGAATTTATCACAAGTCTTGACTTAAAGGACGCCCACTGGCAAGTCCCCTTAGATGAGGCATCAAGGGACAAAACTGCATTCACTGTTCCCGGAAGACCCCTGTACCAGTTCAAAGCGATGCCGTTTGGACTGTGCAATGCGACACAAACCATGTCCAAATTAATGGACAGGGTAATTCCACCACAGCTGCGAAACGAAGTTTTTGTTTATTTGGACGATTTACTTTTAGTTTCGGCTAAGAGGGTAAAATATTTGGGTCATATTGTTGGAGACGGTGGAGTACGAATGGATCCGGAAAAAATTTCCGCTATCACCGCTTTTCCTATTCCCAAGTCCCTCAAAGCGTTACAATGTTTCTTGGGTTTATGCGGGTGGTATTGAAAATTCATAAGCAACTTTGCTGCAATTAAATCTCCTTTAACTGACTTGCTCACTCCGAAGAGCAAGTTTGTGTTTACGGAAACAGCATTAGAGGCCTTTAAAGAGCTCAAAGAAAAACAAGAAAGGAAGCTAGCTTCGGCCAGCCGAAGCTTATATACCCTTGCAGATCATTCCTATTAATTAACAAATCGCAAAAATGTTCAATTTTCTAATATTTCTCATTAATTTTCCGATCGTTCCTATGGCAGCTATATGATATAGTCGTCCGATTTTGATCAAATTAAAATTGAAATTCGGAAATATTTAAAAAGAGTCATATCCTAGAGTAGAAGATAATACAAAGATAATAAAAACCAAAGAAGCTAGAATTTATTTCCTATTACTTTTCCATTAATTTTCCGATCGTTCCTATGGCAGGTATATGATACCTACCGATAGAGCTTGAAAATTATCGATGTCAGTATCGATATTATCGATACTTCTGATATTTTTCAAACATCGATGTTTATCTATAACATCGATGTTTTTCTGACGTTTTATTAGAGAGAAACGAACAGATTTCACTCTTTAATTTTGAGGACCAAAATAACTTTAAATACAAAATCACTTAAAGTAGAGACAAATTACCATACAAGAACCGCGAGTTCTTGGTATTTTTTTCTTCTTTGGTCCCATAGATATTATGAAATACTTAAAAGTAGGCGAAAATGGCATAGGTTATGGCAAAAAATGGCAAATAAAAGAACCGCGAGTTCTTGGGAAGAGGAGGAACTTTGGTTTTTTTAGTACCAAAAACAAAATCTTGGTTGCAGCTACCGACCTTCTGTCCGCTATTAAAAAATCTCAAGAATCCGCGAATTCATAGCCTTTGATAAGAATTGGTCGCTTTTCGAAGATCGTTTGAGCGATTTGGACTCAAGAATCCGCGAATTCTTCAGAAGAGGAGGAATTTTTACTTCTTTATGGTAATTGATACTAATTAAAGTAGGGGAAAATAACCATAGGTTGTGGCATAAAATCGAAAATGAAAGAACCGCGATTTCTTAGGGAAAGTTGGAACTCTCGTTCTTTTAATACCAACAACAAACAAAACAAAGACCGTTTGAGCAATTTTGGCAAAGGATCAAAAAAAAAAGCAACCGGGAATTCTTCAGAAGAGGAGGAATTTGTTTTTCTTTAGTACCAAAAAATGGGATGGAGCAAAGGTTTGTTCTATTATTTTACATAAGTATTTCCTCAAAAGATATTTAAAAAAAAATTCTTGAGAAGCCGTGAATGTCTTTGACTAAGAATTGGTGTATTTCTAGACATGTGACGCAACTCAACTCAATGATCAAAAATAAATAAACCACGCGTTCTTAAGAGGAGGACCCTTTAGTCTGAAATTGCATTTTAATAATGAAAACCGGAAATTAAAATTAAATAAATTAACCGCGATTTTTTCTAATAATAATATTAATAATAATGCAAGTGTATTATGCATGTATATAATAATAATACGTGGTATTAACAGAATTGTAAAACTGTTTTTAATTTGTCTTTGCTTTCCTTGAAAACATCGATATTATCGATACGATAATGATAAAGTATCGAAAATATCGATACTGGCATTTATCGATAATTTTCAAGCTCTATATAGTAGTCCGATTTTTTAAATATTTAATTCGAAATTCAGAAATATTTAAAAAATAACATCCCCAAAAGTAGAAGGTAATATTTCAAAAAACACCGAAGCTAGAATTTTTTAAAGTTTTTTTCCGATCCTTCCTATGGGAGCTATAAGATATAGTTGTCCGATCCGGTCGGTTCCGACATATATACTACCTGCAATTGAAAGATGACTTTTGCGAAAGTTTCGTCCCGAAAGCTCAAAAACTGAGAGACTAGTTTTCGTAGAAACAGACAGACGGGCATGGCTAGATCGACTCGTCTTGTGATGCTGATCAAGAATATATATACTTTATGGGGTCGGAAACGTCTCCTTCACTGCGTTGCAAACTTCTGACTGAAATCATAATACCCTCTGCAAGGGTATAATTAAGCCAAGCGCCTGTCCTCAGAAGTGCCGATTTTTCGAAGCCATTCTACATACACTGCGATGCCAGCAAGACCGGAGTTGGAGGAGTGCTAGTGCAACTTTCATCTGAAGGAGATGAGTGTCCGATAGCATTTGTGTCAAAAAAACTCAACAAGGCTCAGCAAAATTACTCTGTGACTGAGCAGGAATGCTTAGCAGCCATTGTATGTATGAAAAGTTTCAGGGCATACGTAGAAGGCCAGGATTTTACTATTATAACCGACCACGCCTCCTTAAAATGGTTTATGTCGCAGTCTGACCTGAGTTCCCGCTTGGCCAGGTGGGCTCTAAAATTGCAGGCATACAAGTTTAAAATTAGGAAAGCTTAATGTGGTTCCGGATGTATTGTCCAGGGTACATGAAGATGAATTAGCGGCTTTAGATTTTCAAAATGGTTTAATTGTCGATTTGGGATCTGAGCATTTTAAATCTGCAGAATATTTGGATTTGGTGGACGTTAAGGTCTGCGATGGAATGGTGTACAGACGAACAGAGCAATCAGTTGGAGAGCCTGTCCATAACAGCTACAATTGGAAATTGTGGATTCCGAAAGGGCTTGTTGGAGAAGTTTTAGCGAAAGCGCACGCTTAGTAGGGGAAGTGGAAAGATATGTTAGCGCCTGTGAAACTTGCAAGGCCTCGAAAGCCCCTAATCTGGCGTTAAGGCCACCCTTAGCAAAGCCTTCAGAGTCGCAGAGATTCTTCCAAAAGCTTTATATTGACTTTCTAGGACCATACCCTCGCTCACGAAGTGACAACATAGGCAATTTCATTGTTTTGGATCACTTCACGAAGTTCGTTTATCTGCATGCTTTGAAGAAGATGTCCACTAATGTGGTAGTAAAGTATCTGGAGTCCAATCTTTTTCACACCTTTGGTGTCCCCGAGACGATTATTTCAGACAACGGAGCTCAATTTCGTTCAGAAGGGTTTCGAAAGCTTTTGGCGAGCTACGGGATTAACCATGCTTTAACTGCAGTCCATGCCCCACAGGGAAATTCGTCAGAACGGGTTAACCGGTCGGTAATCGCGGCAATTAGGTCATATGTCAGAGCTGATCAAAAAGATTGGGATGAATTTTTGTCACAAATATGTTGCTCGTTGCGGTCTGCTATTCACTCGAGTTTAGGGACAAGTCCCTATTATATGGTATTTGGGCAGCAGATGATCACTTCTGGGTCGGCCTACGCTCTGATTAGAAAGCTAAGCTTGTTGGAGGATCGAACCATACATCTTAGCCAAAAGGATTCACTGGATGTAGTGCGCGATAGGGCCTGTGAAATTAGGCAAAAACAGTATCTGACTAATGAGAAGCAATATAACCTGAGAGCGCGAGAAGTCGTCTACAAGGAAGGTCAGGAGGTGTTTAGGCGGAATTTTAAGCAAAGCAATTTCGAGGCCGGCTACAATGCGAAATTCGGACCCAGTTTTCTCAAGGCTAGAGTTCGTAAGAGATTAGGAGAAGCCTACTACGAACTTGAGGATATGCAGGGGAAGCTCCTTGGGAAATTTCATGCTAAGGACATAAGGCAGTAGCTTGCAAGTTAAGGCCACAAGCGGTATCAGACCTGTCGCTCAGTCGATGAGCCCCAGTCCGATTTTAGCAGGGGAGAATTGTAATGGTCGCTTGTGCAGATACGGATGCAAATGTTGCGGAGATAAATGTTCCCGACGGATCTTGAGCTCCTCTTAAACAACCAGTCCGCTGGTAGAGCAAAGCCTTTGGGTAAGATGTTTGAAAAATAAATAGGACAGCCAAGTTAAAGGAAAACAATTTGCAGTGTTCTCCAGGGAATAAAAAATGTTCAATCACCCCATCGACTTCAAGCGAGATCATCAACTGGCAGCGCCAAGAGATTTGGGAGCGTCGCTAATTGCCACAAGTTGTACAACATACCCCCCACAAATTCGCCTTTTGCCAAAGCCACTATTGCCAAATCTGATATCGCCAAAGTGTCGCCGCCCAAAAATAAAGAAAGAGGGTCGGCTGGCGCAGCATCATTGTCGTCTGAAAAGGCGATCGCATTTAGTTTAAGTAGAGATAATCAATTAATATTTTTTTTAGTAATGTTTTAGAATAGATCATTTTTTTTATTGGTAGCGTGAGAGAGTCCAGCTAAAGGCGCTTAAGCGCAAATAACAAAGAGAATTTAAGCTGTCGACTTTCTCAGTTCCGAGTTTAGGTTGTACTTTGTGTGGCATGGCAAATTAGGGCATTTGACCTTTACATCTATATTTCTTCCCAAACAGATTTACAGCAGAACTCGACTGGAAGCGCTTTCATCGGGGATCGCGGTAAAGAATGTAAGTCTTTTTTTCCCGAAACAATCCATACAATAACAAAGTAAAGCGGCCCTATGCTAAAACCAAAGTAAAACTAATCAAATAAGAACTTGAAAACAGAACGGCCGAGAACTATCCGCATGCCCCTCACCCCGCGCCTATAAGCGCTTCTTTTGAGCGCAGTTTCGCACAAGCGAGGTTGCTTCGGCGCATGAGCGCCTGTTAAAGTATCGTTCGGTTGGGGTCGCTCTGCAAGCTAGACAACAATAACTTCACAGATGCACTCTCGAGCGGACCAATAGATTAGTTTGTTACGTTTTGAAGTGCAGTTGCGAGCTTTAAAGCTTTTCGTTTGTACCAATTATTGAGAACTATTCCAGTTTAAGTTTACGTTCAATGTTCTGAGTATAGTTATGAATTTAATGTCCCTTTTTATTAACTTATGTTTCGTGTATTTTTTATATGTTAAGCAATAAATATTATAATGTTTAATAACTAGATTTTTTTTATGTTAAACTCAGTGCTGTCCTAAGCTTTTAAGACATTTGCGAAGGGGTTATCGCATAATATGTATTTCTTTGGAAAAGATGATCACAGGCAGGGTGCGCTATGCAGCCACAACAACAGCAGTGGCTGAAAAGGTACCTGAATCAATGTGCAATACTTTTTGTTTGACTGTCGTTTCTCTGTCCGGTTGTTAAGTGCGTGTCTAGGTGTTCTTGGTGTCTAGATCGGACTTTTGTGTCGCAAGCACGCTAAGTTTATAAGAGAGATGATGAGTAAGAAAAGGGCAGGATAGCAGCAGCAGACCTTCACACCCAAGCGACGAGTTCTAGCCGGCAATTTATAGCGTGCGCTGCTGCTAGACCTAAGCAACATCAGCCCGTGGGTTATTGCTTGGCATGACCAAAAATTTAAAACATCATCGCTTATAATGGCGTCCAAACGTGTTGGCTCAATGGCGGAAAATTTATTTTTAAAACAAGAGAGAACGCTATAGTCGGGTTGGTGTCCCGACTATCTAATACCCGTCACTCAGCTAAAGGAAGTGCGAACGCGGGTTGGTGTCCCGACTAATGATCGTAACTCAGCTAAAGGGAGTGCGAGGGAGATAGATATATGTAGATATCTTGAATGCGTATAACTTTTTAATGAATGGTCCGATTTGAAAAATGTCTTCTACATTTCGATAGGTATAAATATACACAACAAAATTGCATTTATACTTCTCGGAAATCTTTAAAGATGTGGGCGCAGGACCCATTTTAAAATCGTTAGTGGGCGATTGTGGGCGTTAGAGGGGGCGTGGCGCTCGGCTAAAAAAAACTTGCGCTGCGTAGGAAGCCAAAGAATATGTGTGGAAAATCTCAACCTTCTAGCTTTTGTAGTTTCTGAGATCTCAGCGTTCATAAAGACGGACAGACGGACATGGCTAGATCGACTCGGCTAGTGCCCCTGATCAAGAATATATATACTTTATGGGGTCGGAAACGCTTCCTTCTAGCTGTTACATACTTTTGCACGAATCTAATATACCCTTTTACTCTACGAGTAACGGGTATAACTATTTTCATCTTACTGGCTATACATTTTAGTCGACAAATCATCCTGATGGGAAGGCTCATGGAGGTACTGGAATTCTGATAAAGAATCGCATTAGGCATTACGAGATGCCATCATTCGCTACGACTTATATTCAAGCAACAGCAGTACACCTCGAAACCCAAAGCGGCTACCTAAACCTAGCCTCTATATACTGCCCACCGCGCTTCGCTATTACCGAAGCAGAATTCCTAAACTTCTTCGATGTATTGGGTGACCGCTTTATAGCAGCTGGTGACTACAATGCAAAGCACACCCAATGGGGATCTCGACTCATCAACCCCAAGGAAAAACAACTCTACAACGCGATTATAACTCCGCGAAACAAGCTTGACTTTATTTCTCCGGGTAAGCCTACATATTGGCCAACAGATCCAAATAAGAAACCTGACCTGATTGATTTTGCTATCACAAGAAGAGTGCCGTAGGCTCATGTGCGTGTGGAGCACTTATCAGATCTATCATCAGATCATTCGCCCATCTTGCTTCACCTCTACGACCACCCTCAGGTTACAGAACGGTTACATTCTCTAACTACTTGTAAAACAGACTGGCTCAAATACAGAAAGTATGTAAGTACTCATATTAAGTGAATGTTATTACACTGGCTGCACAACATTCCACGCAACCTATAACATCTAATAAACCATTAAACAGCAGACGTGCTTCTAGGCACATCGAAGAACTGCTATACAATAAGAGAAGGCTTCGTCGAGAGTGGCAAGCCCATAGATCCCCAGCCTCCAAGGAGCGCCTAAAAATAGCCAACTGCATGCTCCGCAAAGCACTAGAAGCTCAGAAAAATAGAGATGAACTATCCTTCATGAAGCAACTCTCACCAAATAGCAAAAGATATCCACTGTGGAAAGCTAAGTCAGGCATATGTCCACCAATAGAAAGTGAATCACCCCTACATACGCAAACAGGAACTTGGGCCCGCAGCAACGAAGAGAGGGCGAATACATTTGCCCACCACTTAGAAAATGTCTTCAAACCACTTCCAGCAACGAATAGCTTTGTGCTGCCATTAATCTCCAATCCTGAAGCTAGCCCGCAAATTATATACCATCCAGAAGAAGTTACAAGAATCATACAGTCCCAAGATAAAAAGAAAGCGCCGGGTCACGATCTCATCACCCCAAAAATGATTGTAGAACTGCCAAACTGTGCAGTACATCTTCTAACCATAATATTTAACAGCATGATGAATTTGGGATATTATCCTCAACAATGGAGGAAGTCTGTCATCATAATGATCCATAAAGCCGGAAAGCCATCGTCATATAGGCCAATCAGCCTTCTGCCGTGCCTATCAAAGATATTTGAAAAGCTGCTCCTCAGTCGTATCAAGCAATACTTACAAGCCCACAATGCAATACCAATGCACCAATTCGGATTTCGTGAAAAACACGGAACTATTGAACAAGGGAACCGGATAACCTCCGAGATACGAAATGCATTTGAAAGGCGAGAATATTGCTCCGCTGTGTTTCTGGATGTCGCACAGGCCTTCGACCGCGTGTGGCTGGACGGCTTAATTCATAAAATCAGATTAATACTTCCACAAAGCACGCATACAATTTTGGAGTCCTACCTACAAAAAAGAAGCTTCGCAGTGCGATGCAAAGATTTCATCTCTGATTATCATCCAATAAAAGCTGGAGTACCCCAAGGAAGTGTGCTTGGGCCGACATTGTATATTATTTATACTGCAGACCTCCCGACATCCACTCTTACAAACAACCTCAACCTTCGCTGATGATACTGTCATCCTAAGTCGGTCTAAATGTCCTCTTAGAGCAACGCAACACCTAGCAGATCACCTCGTGCTTCTAGAACAATGGCTAGCAGACTGGCGCATAAACGTTAACGAACAAAAATGTAAACATGTTACTTTTACCCTAAACAGGCAAACCTGCCCTTCACTATCCCTGAACAACATTATTATGCCACAAACAACTGAAGTAACATATCTAGGAGTCCACCTGGATAGACGACTCACTTGGCGTAAACATATCGAAGCTAAGAGAAATCATTTAAAATTTAAAGCCAGCAATCTACATTGGCTTATTAACGCCCGCTCGCCATTAAAATTAGAATACAAAATACTCTTGTATAATGCAGTCCTAAAACCAATTTGGACATATGGGTCCGAGCTATGGGGAAACGCATGTGCCAGCCACTTAGAAATAATCCAGAGAGCTCAATCAAAGATACTGAGAACTATAACAGGAGCGCCGTGGTATATACGGAATGAAAATATTCATAAAGATCTAAACATACGCTTAGTTAAAGACGAACGCGACAAAGCGAAAACAAAGTATAATCTCAAGGTCCAGGCCCATCCTAATGACCTTGCGCGTTCTTTAATCTGGACCACAAGCTATACACGACTCCGGCGAAGAGACCTCCCCACCCAGAAGCAATAGTTAGGGCCGTTATTCCAAAAAAAAAAATTATTAATTTGTAATTAATTAAAATATATAAACTAGATTAAGATTTGTCGTTAGTCTCTAAGAGAGAAGATTCAATAAATAAAATACCGTTTAAAAAAAAAAAAAAAATTAAACCAAGATCAGGGGATATTGAAATGTCAGGACAGCCGAATTGTATCAGGATCGCTACGTAGTAGTTTGTATGTATAAGTTATT